TTTTTTGTAATAAATCATACTCAATGCACAAAAAAAAAATCATAAGTAATTAAAGGTATAGCCATGCAACTTTGACGCAAAACAATAGGAGTTGACTTCAGTTTAGAAAACAGAGCATGCTGGTGAGAGGCTTTCAGGTTTTATTCATTCCTAATATTCTCCAATGGGTTTCAATCCATTATAGTTTTGTTGGTAGAAGGGTTTGGACCGGACCATTTAATTCATGTCTATCTTCAGTGTCTTCTGAGTTGGTGTGTTCAAAGCTGCAACAGGGTGAAGTATGTTGCAAAGCTAAATGGCTCGCATAAGCATTAACTCTTCTAACATTACCTACCAGAGCTGGCCTTGTGTGGGTGAAGCCTTAGAGATTTGTGAGGGATGGCCAATAGTAGAGCCTTGATATCCTACTTGTGAACAAAAAAGAGAAACGTGTTCTTCTGCCTCCAACCAAAGTAACACCAACTTCAATCACTGTTTTGTTCACATCTAGAGCAATGTCTATCTCTTCAAGAGCTAGTTCTCGTACCTTTGAGATCATCGATAGGATTGAGGAATTTTTTTAAGGAGGAAAACATAGATAGCTCCTCTCTTCAAGAAGGGAAAAGATTTTGTGGCAAAAACGATTGTCTGCCACTTCTTAGATCCTTCTGTTGAGCATAATAACAGGAATTTATGTATATATTTACCGGTCAAAGATTTGGAGGTCTGTACATTTAAATGCTTTGCTTTGTACTTCCATTACTTTTTTAATAGAAAGCACTTCCATTACAAGTCTAAGATCCTTCCCAGCTTGATCCCAAACAATTGAGCATAATGACAGCATGTTTATTGAACAGTATTTTGGAAGCAAGTCTCTATCGTTGCCTCTAGCTATTTTTGTTTGTACTTCCATTACTCTTAATGAAGGTCTCCTTTTCAACCAAAAAGAAAAATAAAAACACTCCATTTCATATCATATGCTGATGCCAAATACAGACATAACAAAAGATACGTATCAATTCACAAGAAACAATTCTCCAATTAAAGTTCAAGAGAATACCAATTTCAAACCTTTTATTCTAATTCTATTCCTTTTTTTCCTTTGAGTGCAACAAATGTGGGGATGAGAATTTGAACCTCAAACTTCAACTCGTTTTGGTAATTTCAGACCTTTCTATTGTGAAGTTTACTAAAAACTAAAAGGCTCATCTAATCGATGCCTATACCACATGAGGAATAGATTTTTAAATCTGATGCAGACAAAAATTTTACGAATGAGTCTGGCAAGTGATTCAAAAGCATGTACACGGGGCTCTTATTATTATTCTTTCACTTCCCAAATTAATTATTTTCAATTTTCAATCTTCATTGGCCAAAGCGAACATAGTTCGACGATAATTGGCATATATCTTCAACCAAGAGGTCGTGAGTTCGATCCCCCACCCCACATGTTGTAGTAATAAAAATTGTTACTTCTAAAAAAAAACAATCTTCAATCTTCATTGATCCAGAAGTTTTACTAGAGCCTGGTCTTTTCGAGTAAGAGGTTAAAGATCTTACCAATGCCTCAACACCACCTGCAGCTGCAATTGCTTCTCTATTTCTGTCATCAAATGATAAATTCCATAGGGCACCAGCAGCCTCTTGCCT